CAATGAGAAGCAAGGCACGGGCAATGTCAAACCAACAACATTGATGAAGTAAAGTTTGAGATCATTACACGCCACACTGTCTCTTTTCAGTTGGTAGTGCGTATTCACGAACCTAATAGTCATGATACAAAGTCAGTTGTCAGAGGCAACAAGATGGCATCTTAATGGCATGATAAATGAAGGAGTGTCCTTCAGACAAATTGGACGTCAACTTTGGTGCAGTCCTGACATCATTTCAAAACTCAGGGGTACCAATGGTGAGAAGTGCTGGCAGACCCCGTAGGACAACAAGAAGAGAGGATAGGGTATTGTTGAATCTGGTTACGCGCCGCCCATGGACTTCAGCACATCTTTAAAGCTACAAGAAATCGGCTGAAAGCAGCAGGATACAGGTCCAGAAGACCCATACAGTGAATTCAACAGTCTCCTGCTCACAAATTAGCATGACCTGCCTGGATAATCAATTTGTTCGCAAGAGCACTGCTTCATGGCGGAGGATTCACATACATACACCATATAATTTTGGTGAGGTTTGTGAATCCATCCACGAACTATTTTTACGAACGTCATGCTGTTCAACAGCATTCATGATGAATTTGAAATCAGTCCTAAATTACCTTATTTTGGGCCCACTCTAAAATATTTTTTTAAGGGAAACATTCTTAGTTATTGGGAAATCACCAGTTATGATATGACCAGCAGGTGTATGGGAGAAACGGTAAGTTTGGGAATCACACATCGTGATTTTTAAAATATTTGTTTTTCCATTTTGAATAATATTGTCCTGGAGACTCTCCATTTCATGAAACGTAATAGAAATTAGCCCTGTGTGGATTTCAGTGGACGTAGAAACTGAAGATAAGTTTACCACAAAATCCTGTTGAAAGAATAATTGAGTTACAAATCAGTTATTGCATCGTTGCCATAGTATTTCATCAAAAATTCTTTTACAAAACTGCACATGACTGTTCAAAGAAAATATGTATCACAGAATCTGGTCAAAATGACACTTTATCTATTTCTCCCCAAGAAAACAATGAACAAATGACAAATTCGTGGTGAAATAAATACGATTTCTTATACTTCATGGTTTCTATAAATGTTGCTGTCAAGTCAAGGTGATGTGGCCACAACTGTTTTGGATATAAAATATTCAGATGACCTTACACACAAATGTATTTGGAGAAACAGTCTTCATTCGGGCTGACAAAGGTTGTTCATGTGTGACATATTTTCTAAAATTACTTCATAGGACTCTGAAGTTGTTGAATCGCTCTGGCACTGACTGCTCACTTGTGACGACAGTTTCTAATATTACCTTTCAGGAATGTGAATGGGCAGGTTGCCCAATCGTGACATATCTGTTTACGAATTTGACAGTTTAAATGGAGAAAACTTGAATTTGCAGCAGTGCAATTTTAGATTTTGACTTCACAAATTGTCCAATCATGTAAAAAGCCTTGAGTCTTTGGGAGGAGTTAATTGAATGCTTGAGTTCACAGGTCTACAAATCCTATGAACATTATTTTGATTGCAAAATTCGCACTGAATATGATCAGCAGCCAATTCAGTACCAACCGTGACTTGGGTTTCAACAAAGTGATACACATCTAAGATCTGCATCACTTTGTGCTTTCCTTCCACTTTTAGCAGACACCTCGTGATATAAATGACACAAGTAAACCCCAAATGACTCACACTCCTCATCTTACACAACTCAACATACACATAATGCATGCGGTCGTGGGACCCCTGAAGATCGAGACTGGAAATATTTCGAACCAAATATTAATTCAACATTTTGTGGAAAACCTTACAGATTTTATTTAATAAAAAATGCAAGACCAAAAGTAAGAGGCGACAAAAATGACAAAAAAAATATCCTCCAATGGGGAATCCAGTGATTGACGTGCAAAACTATATCAAAGATTAGTCCGGCGATTGGTCTTTTGCCTTCGAGGTATTTATGGCTTCACTGAACTTTTTCTGTCTGTTGATCCATTTTATTTCTGATATTATTACACATTGTCCATCCCTTTTGACAACTTATGCCATATCTGTGACACTATTGAAGATGCCATCCATTGTCTACTCAGGGGATTAAGCCCTTGCAGACATTCATTGTGTTGAACAGGACCGAGGGCAGCAGTTAGTTTATGGCAGCCAAACAGGGATGTTAGTCTTAAACCGCTAATAACAGATATTAACTTTTCTTTTGATTATTCGAAGAGTCAAGAGCAATGGTTGTTTCACACACTAAGCAATGTTTGCAATGTTATTTTTGTAGGATTATCAGAACTAGCAACACTTCCTGATGCTTCTTAGCATCACAAGATATGTTACATACTAGATAGACAGTGCAATCAAGTCTTGTAATCTGGTTATGGAGCGTGTGATTTCAGCACTTTCACTTGGACATTTAAGTACTTTCTACGAATGTGATGACTTTTTCTCATTTGTACTCTTCATAGATCGCGTACAAGGTTTGCAAAAAGGTGAGCATATCCTGCCCCAAAGTTTACAACCATCACCAACACATGCAAATGCAAGTCATTTGTTCCCCTGAAAAGTCAAAATATGGAATTGCAATGGACATCTTTTTCGTTAACCATACGTCAGATGTGGAACTGCGCTCCATGTTTCTACCCTAAAACTCTTTGAGAGCTTCACCGAGGCCTTGAATTTTGTATCCTTGACATATCTTGTAATATACATGTACTTTTATAAGGCAGTACAACATTGTTGTTCTGCCACGGCCGGCTGTTTCTCCAGACCTCTCCGCAAAAGACATATCTGGATTGACAGGACCAGAACCAGCCAGTAAAACCAATCTTTGTTGACATTCGGAACAACCCCAAACATGTGAACATGAGCAAGTGCTTCACGTGATGAAAAATGTGCACCCGTATGAAAATATGAAATTATGGAAAACATGAGCAGGATTGTACTCTCTCATCACATGAAACCATCTAAACAATGAACATGCCTTGACTAACCACAGAGCAGAGGGAAAGAGCAATCGGTATGTTGCAAATGGGAGTGATGCAGGAGCACGTTGCCAGTGTCATGGGCTGCTACAAGTGCAACATTGCCAGAAATTGTCACACGTCGCAGGCAAACTGGCAGAACTGCAGACAGGCCGAGGAGTGGAAGCCCAAAGGTCACCACCCAACAGGAAGACCGGTTGAAAAGAAGACGAAAAAGTCCTCGGCAGTTATTCAGACCATTTAATGTCAGTTTGTTCATCATCACAGTCATAGGCAAGTCATGGCAGTTTGTCAACACACGCACACGGACAGCAAGTGGTTACATAAAAAAGTATGAACCGGGTGGATACAACTGTCAAACTGAAACGGAATGGCAGACAAACGAAATCACACCCAGCAACATGTACACTGCATAAGCAATAGGCAAACAGCTTTACTGTTCTTACTTTTATCGAACAGCATTCATTCATTACTTTATGACAAAGCCGCCTCCAAATTTGGAACAACATTTGGAAAAAAGAATAAAGTAATGCCCTTTTGGCATAGTCAAAATTATCATAAACATGATTAAGGGAAGCTGCATTAATGTCAATTCTGTTCAATGATGCACTTAATCTCCCGTTCCCATGCAACACCGAAGTGTGGAGCACTTGGTGGATTAAACCGAAAGGAGATTTTGCTAGCTATCGATTCAGTGAAGGAGTCATTGCTGCCCATGCCTCCTCAAGCTCTACCTGACCGCCCCAAAAATTTGTGCCTCTGTCACATAAAATTTCATAAGGCTTGCCACGTCTTTATATGAAACGTCGAAGTGGCATCAAAAATTAATCAGTGTCCATTCTGTCCAATATGTCAAGATAAACAGCTCTTGTCGTCATACATTTGTAAAGAATGCCCCATCTCTTTTCCAATCATCGAGCAATCTTCACCATCAGAGGGCCAAAACAGTCAATTCCAGTTGAATAAAAAGCTGGCTTAAATAATCGAAGTCGTGCTGATGGCAAATGGAAAGCACTGTCGTTGTTCAAGGCTGTAGATATGCATTTCAGTTTGTGTTCTAGTATCAGCATCATCAGCCGCCCCATGAAGCACCTGCATAGTCTTAGTGACAAGATCATTCCAATCTGTACAACTGTTGGGATCAACAGGTAGATCAACTTTCAATGCAGACAGCATGCACCTTGTTTTCATTTCAGTGTCATCTACAGTGTCTGGCTGAATTTCAGTCGGCCACTGGTCAGGAGATAGATGTAAGAAGGTAGGACCATTTCTCCATCGGGATTGATCATCACTTATATCTATCAATTTCTTGCCTTTCAAGTCATCTGCTGGATTGGATGCCGTGTTGATGTAACACCACTGAGAGGATTCAGTAAAAGTCTGTATTTCCGCTACACGTGTTCCCACTAACACTTTATAACGGCAACAGTCAGATTTGATCCATGTCAATACTGTTGTTGAATCACTCCAAAGCATGATTCTGTGGATTGACAGTGTAAGTTCACTAGACAATACATCTAACAATTGAGCTCCTGCAAGAGCTGCACATAACTCCTACCGGGGCATGGACAACTGGCGCTTTGGTGCGACTCTCATACGTGCTTGCAGAAAACTGACATGAATATCACCATCAACAGTCCTCATGTATGCAACAGCTCCATATGTCCGCTCGAAAGCATCACAGACAATATGAATTTCCCGCGTTGTTCCTTTCAGTTCCCAATGTAGCATAACAACGTGGAAGTCGCACTTCACTGACATTTGGAAGCTGCAACTCCCAAGTCATCCATCTGTCATATAGGACACCTTGTTGAATAGTTGCATCCCATTCTCTCTTAACCGCCCACAGGTCCTGAACAATACACTTAGCTACGGCTAAGAAAGGCGCCAAAAATCCAATAGGATTGTATTGGCCTGCAAGTATGTGATAAATCACTCTCAATGTCAGTGAAGCATATTCTGTTAGCTTCTGCTTGTAACCCAGCTCATCAGTGTTGATGTACCACAACAAACCTAAGGTTCTCTCAGACTGATCCTCTCCAGCCCTGTTCAGCCACATCTCACACGAATCTGAACGGTCCTCGGATGGGACATCTTGCACAACAGAAGCATCATTACTGGTCAACTGTCGAACATGAAATCCTCCATCATCCAACAGATTCCCGATATCATGGAGCAAGGCTCTAGCATCTTCACTAGTTGGCACACTGTCCAGGCAGTTGTCGACATAGAAAGCTTCCATAACAAATCTCTTGACATGTTCTTTGACCTGTGGCTCTTTACATGCCTCTGTAGGGCGTAAGTAGCACATACTGGACTGCACGTTGTTCCAAATGGCAGTACTTGCCATTCATAAATGTCTGGTTCACTATTAACATCTCATGTCACGCCACAGAAAACAGAGAAGTGATCTGTCCCTCGGAAAAAGTCGCACTTGATGGAACATAGCCTTTATGTCCCCAGCAATGGCAACAGAATGCTGTCGAAATCTTAAAAGAACTCCAAGTAGGGATGGTCCCAACTTCTCCTAATTTCTTTTTGAGATTTTTACCATCATGTTCATAAGAGCAATTAAACACCAACCTGTGTTTACCATTTTGTTCCACAACATGATGAGGAATGTACCATGACTCGGAAGTCTTCCTGTCTTCCTCGTCACTAATAACTTGTACTAGTCTATCTAACTAACTTGTGAACAAGATCACTGTGAATTTCTGCCCTTGCTGGATGATTAAGTAAACGCGCTCCATACGTTGTTGGGATCATATCTTCTTTTGAAGCCTCAAACACTGTGTCATTGAATCTCAACAATGGAGTTTCATATCGGTAAACACCATTCACTTCCACTCTTTGAGTGTCAGTTTCTAGAATATGCATGGCAAGGTTATCCTGCTTTGACCTTTTCAAATCCTTCTTTAAATAAGGCATCACATCCATTTTCCACAATGCCTGAACGTCACTTATGAGACTAGTAGATTCCAATTCAATGAAAAATACTGTTTGGGTCCTAACAAGCTGCTGCACATTGTGTGCTCCTTGAAGTGACTAGCCCAGTCTGGTATGCACAGCGATTGAGAACCACTTGGTCCACTTCTAACTGGCTCTTGAGGTACGATCAGTTCAGCCAAGTCTGAACCAATCAGAATGACTGGTTTAGCATTGTCAATATGGGGCAAAGGTAAGTCTCTGATATGTGCCCACTGTTTCTTGAGTTCAGCCACTGGGTATGTATATTCAGATAAAAACAAGTTGCTCGATGTGAAGGCATTTAGCACATTGTATCTTGTTTCTGGCATATCCTTTGCAGATACCTGAAGATTCACAGACTGTCCACTGCACAGATATGGCTCACGCCGAATTGTTGTAAGCAAAATGGTATCTGGTTTCTCCGAAAGATCAAGAGACTTTACAGCGGATTCAAGAATCATGGTTCTTTGAGATCCATCATCAAGGATTGCGTAAGCATTCATGCTTCAGCCTTGTCCGTACAAAGTAACCTCAACAACTTTCAACATGGTACTAAAGGGCTTGGGTGGCTGATCAAGATATACTTGTGCATGCGAGGAAGATGTCTTTGAAAACATCAGTCATATGCAGTCATATGTCTGCATGCATCAGGTAGGGCAGTAAGATGCAACTCGGTACATAGTTGACCATGGTGTCTTAAGGTTACAGTCCTCTGGTTTATGTTTTCTTGCACATCGAAAACATCGATCTCTCAACCAAGTTTCAACTTCCAGGTCAGAAAGTATCTTAAACCCTGGGCATTCAGAAAATGATCAGCTGATATACATTTAGGACAGTAGCCCTTGTACTTTGGTTTGACCTTGACTTGTTGACCCTGTTGTCTGCCATTTAAAGCATTTTGCTGAGTGTAGAATGTTGATGCTGAACTTGTTTCCTTACTTTGTAGACAACTGTTCGTCGAAACATTCGCTCATCAGACTTCATGGAGTCACTCCTTGGCACTGCTTGATGAGACAATCTCTTGGCCCTTGATTTTAGCTGTAACCACTGGTCAAGGTGGGTCAAATTGTATGTTGCCTTAGAACCAGAATCATACCATCCCTGTTTGATACAGTACTCTGTAAAGTTATCACGCCTCCCATGTGGAAGCTTGGTGATCAGAGTTGACACATGAGAAGCACAATACAGTTCAGCTCAACTCTGCATGGATTTCAACATCCCAACTAACGACTGTATACGTAAGGCAAAGTTCTCAAAGGCATCATAATCTCCAAACCTAATTGGTCTCACTCTGAATCAGTTGTCCCGCACTACCATATGTGCGTTGCAATTCCTGCACAGCTTTTTTGTAAGGAGTAGGGTGAAACATGAAGGCCTCAGCAAGCTGTCTTGGTGTATTACCAAGTTTATCCAATAATAGTTGATACTTGTAAGTTTCAGTCAGGTGAGGATGAACGTCAACTAGTGTCTCGAGTGCCATCTTCAGTAAGAAAAAGTCTCGTCCCATGCCACTCTTGAATTGTGGTAGAGTAGGTTTAGGAATTCCATACACAGATGAAATCAGCATTGCATTCATTGGCAATTCAACACATCCGAAACATGTATGGGCTGAGGTAGCAGGTGATTGATTGACATGGGAATCCTTATTCTGTCTAGGTGTAAACACATCGGCACTTGGACGGAGAGTGTGATTATGGTCTACATATGAATGTTCAATTTCACGCTTGATATGTCTATCAGTGGTGGGTTCACCTTGGTCACTAAACTGCGCAGGGTATGTTACCTCAGTGTTTAGTGCCCTGGGATAGGATGTCTCACTGACTACTGGCTCCTTTATCATTTATGAAATTAACATTGCTTCTTTATACCTATTCTCAGCTTCTCTTAAGTTTCCTGTGACATCCTACTTTCCTTTTCTTTCTTGATACTCCTCTCTAATCTTTCTAACCCATGTCTAGTTTCAGACGCTTTATCCTCCATATGCTTAATGTGAACAGCTATATCTCTATATTCTTCTAACTGCTTCTTAAGTTCATCAAGTTCATGTTTACGTTTTACTGTCTCAAGCTCAGCAGTTTGCTTATCACTTATCTATTGACAAAACGGAAGAACTAGTAGAACGTGCACTTCCTAAACTTATTTCCGATCGTGTGGTCATTATTTCATCAAGTCCATGATTCATGCCAACTACATAATCTGACAAAGAGGCAGGTGGTCGTCTGCGCCTGGACGAAAAGGGGGGAGTGTCCGTCTTGCGAGCGCGACCGTGTTTTACCGGGAATATCATTGTCATCACTGTCAAAGTTAATAATTAGGCACTGTACTTACATATCCGGCTCGGACCTTGAAAAGAAAACGAAGAAGTCCTCGGCAGTTATTCAGACCATTTAATGTCAGTTTGTTCATCATCATAGTCATAGGCAAGGCATGGCAGTTTGTCAACACACGCACACGGACAGCACGTGGTTACATAAAAAAAGTATGAACCGGGTGCATACAACTGTCAAACTGAAACGGAATGGCAGACTAAGGAAATCATACCCATAAGCATAAGCAATAGGCAAACAGCTTTACTGTTCTTACTTTTATCGAACAGCATTCATTCATTACTTTATGACACCGGTATTTACGTGTGCTTCTTCTTATGTCCAGATTCCTAACTGTGACGTCATCGTCTGCTAATAGCCTTGGACATCCAGTCAGTAGAAGGACAGTTGCCAGACGGTATGGTCTCCGTACCTATTGACCACTCAAGAGCACTCAAGAACAACGTGACCGTATTACAGTGGCCAGCCAGATCACCGGACCTGTCGTCCACAGAGTACCTCTGGTACCAAGTTGGTCGCCATTGACGAGGGATGCCTTGAAACTTGCACTGGAGAAGGAATTGCGTAGGATCCCTAATGGGAATGTCAAAAGACTCGTATTAGGACCTGCATCGTACCTAGAGGGGATCACATCCAATACCGAGCCATGTGTACAGCAGGAAACATTAAAAAGAGATCGACGTCGATTCTGTCGCTGTGATCGAATACTAGGCAGTGTACCCCACATGATTAACATGTCTGCAGGACTTTAAGGTTTTGATCTTGTCATTTTCAAATACCGTTTTGAAATATATATATATTATAATAAATATATATATATATAATTTATAATAAACATCAACTATTTTGTATACATATAAATTGGAATTTCGAGATATATTGCAGCAGCCTTTGGATTCTTAATTTTACAATCCTTGAGATACACTCAAGCATGTTCTTTCTACGAACATTTCAAACAGCGTCTCACTATCCTTGCTGAAAAGTTGATTAAGCTAGTTGACATTCCCCTCTACAAAACCTCTCTTGACTGATTTCCAATCTATCCCGATCCCATATGGTCACAGCTGGACAGAATAGCTCCGAAAGAGAGTTTGTGACCTTGCTGATTGTGTATCTTCACGTTCTCTGTATTAAAACAAACACATTGCATAGTCTCAAACAACGGATTGGTATCTATATATTTGTTCTCTTGTCTCTTATGTTGGTAAGTGTGATCACTGTGTACTTCCTTATTAAAAGTGTATGTTAGCTTCACCTTCTCCCTCTTATGGACATTCTACAAACACAAACAATATTCACGTCATAAATATTCTTTAAGTCACATTTTTCGACTTTCGGAAACTGTGTTAAGTTACAATCTCGAATTTCGTTGGTATTTAGGATAACATGTTTTGTCCTTCTTGTCATGGGTCAGCGTCTGTTTTTTTTTTTTCTCTTTTGCAAATATAAGTTTTATGTCTTTACCAAGGTAAACATTGAAGTCATAAATACCAGTCACTTCAGGATATTTATGACTTCAATGTTTACCTTGGTAAAGACATAAAACTTATATTTGCAAAAGAGAAAAAAAAACAACAGACGCTGACCCATGACAAGAAGGACAAAACATGTTATCCTAAATACCAACGAAATTCGAGATTGTAACTTAACACAGTTTCCGAAAGTCGAAAAATGTGACTTAAAGAATATTTATGACGTGAATATTGTTTGTGTTTGTAGAATGTCCATAAGAGGGAGAAGGTGAAGCTAACATACACTTTTAATAAGGAAGTACACAGTGATCACACTTACCAACATAAGAGACAAGAGAACAAATATATAGATACCAATCCGTTGTTTGAGACTATGCAATGTGTTTGTTTTAATACAGAGAACGTGAAGATACACAATCAGCAAGGTCACAAACTCTCTTTCGGAGCTATTCTGTCCAGCTGTGACCATATGGGATCGGGATAGATTGGAAATCAGTCAAGAGAGGTTTTGTAGAGGGGAATGTCAACTAGCTTAATCAACTTTT